GTTCAGTGTGGTATTACATAAAGTGTGGTCTTATAAAATATGTTTTTTATGCACAGTGCTTTATGATTTATGAATTGTAAGATTAATGGACTGAATTAATATGTTCCGCCACTGATGATGACCTCATGAGGTCGAAACGCGTTTCGCACAAAGTGTTTTTAAAGTGTAAACATTTTTTCAAATCTAAAACTTCTTGACGATGGTGAAGAATCAATTGAATAAAAATTTCCTTGGATATTATCCATCGTCTAGTAAATATAATACGTAAAACGACGTTTCGGAGATGGGACTCTATCTCCGTCTTCAGGTTCCTACACAGTTGGGCCCACTAGATAGAGCTAATCCCTATCTCCGGACCATATAAAGGAAATTTTTATTCAGTAAACAGTTTTGTTTGTATGCATAATTTTATATTTTGGATAACGGCAAAAGACCTGAAGAATCAGTTATCTTGTTAATATCACTGTAAATTAATTAAACTAAAAGTGAAAGTTACTCAGAAATGAGACACGACACCTGGACTTGTAATGGGGACGATCATAAGGAACTGTTAGAGGAGTAGCTGTAAGAATTTGTGAGAAATATTAACAACATTTTAGGTTCAGTGTACGTGTCGTATTTAAAGTAAAGGACCATATTTAATGTTTGAGAAAGACAGGGGTTATTAAAAGTTGTTGGTGCTTCAAGAGGGAGAAGACGGCAAAGGAAAGCTAAATGAGTATAATTTAATTCACAGTCTTACAGCGAATGGCAGGAATGTACGGGAAATGCAGTCTTGTAAACTGTTCAGAAATATTCCTAAAAACTTGCATACCGTGTAGTTTCGAATTTGTATGTATAAAAACACGTATAGAAAAATAACATGTTTGCCAACCTAAAATGTCACACGATTCATAATTTACTTTCAGGTCAAGACGGACAGGATCTGTCATTAATTATTCAAAAGCAAATAATAAATGGAGACAGTGGTAAAAGACACGAGAATGAAAAGCGGAAAACTTATACAAATTGTGATTAATCTGTAATAATTTTAAAACATTTGTAATAGCGATATATATTTCTTAAAGGAAATAACGTATAAATGCTGTGTGTGCGTTAAACTAAGACATTTCTGTCAGATAGAAGAAGAAGAAATATAAGATGGTATGAAAACGAACTGATAAATCATAAAGAGACTTCGGTAAATAAAAGCGAAGCGAGAAATGTGACAGAGTTTACGAAAAGGGTGGAAAATTAAGCCTAAACGAAAAGAAAATATCGAAGTTGTATGAACAACATTCTAAGAATCAGAGAGGCACTGAGGACGTAAACGAGGCTTAAAAGAGTCTGCAAGTCAAAGATTTATAAGGCGACGCGCATGGCGACAGGAAAGAAAGTTACAAGAAACACGCGTGCAGGAGAAAGTCCCGGCCTAAATAAATTATACTAGAATCAAAGAGAAGTCGGGCTTTTATAGAGACCTACGTCGCAGCCGGAATCAGAACTCTGCACACGTGAACAAGTACTGAGGAAGATGAAGTTGATCCCATAATTAAATAAACGTGAAAGAACACTGCCAAAGTTTTTATTATTTGTGAATAAACTATGGAAGAGCCATATTTCAGGACTTTACGGCGCCAAGTCCGAAGATGGCCGTCTTCTGGGATGTTGCGCCGTGTAGCCTCACAGAAATTGGCCGACATTTCGGAGGTCATTGCTGCCTCCGTCATCATGATTCATCTCCCTGATGATAGAGGCATCAAGGACCTCTGAAACGCTGGTAAACTACACGGCGCTACAGCCGTCTTCGGACTTAAATCATTCCCATATCTTCGTCTCGGCCTCTTTGTTATTTCTGGCTGAAACCTTGTAAGCGTTTCACACCTCTGTCATGAGTGTTACGTGTTCCTTGCATCTCGCCCTCCTTAATTCGGGCACCCTAATCGTTCGGTTAATTGTATAAATTATGAAGTTTCTTGTTAATGGGACTGTTTGTAACTTGATGCTAACCGCAATGCCCCTCTTGCACGCAGACGTCCTATTCGGTCAGTCTGCTCTGGACACTAAATGAAGCAGGAAGTAAACAACAACAACACTCTAATGCAGAGCGGAAGGTCCTTAATAAATGTTTATTAATTTAGGAGAAGGGAGTGTAAGATATTTATGGTGGATTCGTGGCTCAAGTCAAGAACAGTGCATATTAGCGCTTTAGCTGTTCGAGCGAGTCCTCGCTTGGGGCAATGTTTCTCCGAAGTCCACTTGTCTCTTCAGATAGGTTCCCGTAATAACTGAGATGAAAACATTGTGAAGTGACGCAGCTCGTGGAAGCCACCAGCGTCATTTAACTTGAATGCTCCCGCTAAATATTCGATTCAGTGAGCAGAGACGAGAGTTTCAAGGAGAAAACGCACTTAAAATATCGGACCTGTTTTATTCTGAGTTTATGGAGTGGAAGAAAGAGTGAACCTGGCAAACAGCAACAAATCCGAATGAAGTTTGTGATTAAATTAAGGGACGAAGAATGTCAGAAAATGTTTCGTGCGGTGTCCTCGTCCTGCTTACTGGACGATGGAATAGTTTTGTGTAATTGAGAAATTAAATGCAAGCAGATTGTTCGTGGAGTTTTCAAGCAGACAGCAGCCACTTGGGAGCGAACACCTTCTGAGGAGTTCATGAAAAAGACGGCGTGTGAGTGGGGAGGGGAAAAAGAAAACTTTAAACCTCTCGTTATTTTACCACAAGTCGCTTACTAAATCTGAAATTTTTGTTTGCGGAAGAATGCATTTGTTAGTTACAAAACTTCTAAGGTAGATTTGTAAGTAGTTATCTTGTAATTAATTTACAGAATTAGAGAATGAAAGGTTGTGGAAGTATTTTATTATGATGTAGCCTAGGTATTTATAGAACAGGAATGTTTGTTGATTAACAGTTTTAAATCCAGAATTTATTATACGTCAGTGTCACTGTTTTATTTATAGAACTGGGAGAGAGAGCATATGATACAACGTTCTTGTGAATTAGTTCTAAAGCCACGATGTTAGTTTATGGAAGACTAAGTTAAAGGTCAGTTAGCTCGTGACTACAGTTCAGTGTCGTAGTTTGCGGGCACTGAAGACGCTCCTCTGAGTTGTCGAGTTGTTATCTGCTGGACTCTGATTTATATTTCCCTGCTCCTGGATAGCGGTCAGACCGTGCCAACAGTTAAATTTGGTATCACCCACTTAGAGACTGCGTGTTCCACAGAAGCAGGAAATTTGTTTCATATGAGGCTTCCTATTGGTAAACCGAGAAGGGTGTACGATGAATTCTGTGCTTTATTAATCTGGTGTGAACATCGTTTTAGGTCGTGAACTTCCAAATTTGCACTGCACATTGTAGAGCGTAAATTTTGAAGCTGTAAATTTTTTGGTGTAGACTCTACACTGTAGAGTCTACACCAAAAACGGCTCGGGGCCTCAGGAGAAAATATGATGACGAAAATGTTCTTGCAAATCATGTGCCTCGAGTCTCAGGTGTTTGGCACCATCTAAGTCCGGTCGTCGGCGATGTTGCCTCGTTGACGTGACCATGAAATACTAATGCGTTCCCACCTGTGCCACGTTCATGAACGCCTCGCTCTCGTCTGGAAACACGTTCTCCTTTCGCTGCCACATCAACTACGCAGCACCTTCGTAAAGTTCTAACGTTGATGATGTTAAGAGTGTGGATTCATAACGATTTGTCCTAGAAAAAGATGCCAAACACTTGATATTGGAAAGACTTTTTTTTTAAATGAGAGAGATATCTTACGGCCCACATTTATGGGACACTGTATAATAGGGGAAGTTATCCAGAAGAGTTGAATGGTCTGAAATGACAGGTGGAAATGGAGAGCTTGGTCACGTGTGAGACAATAGCATAAAACAGATCTGAAATAGATCCGGTATGAATATTTGGAATGGATTCGTCCGACTTATTATGTGGTCGAGTAGCCAACTCTTTAGGACAAGATAATAAATAAACTTTGAACTCTACAAATGAGGTCGATTTATCGAGTACGTGATCGCATATCAGCCTCTCGATGACTCGTGTTTCACAGAAGCTAAGTTTGGGTACATGGAGTCGCGTTGGATCGCTTTAGAGGCTGTCGTTTTAATTCGCTCCTATTAGTCTCATACGCAGGTGTTTATATCAGCGGACACACAACAATTTCTAGTTTCAGTTCAGTATATAAGGTAATGTTTTTACATCAAATCGTGTAACAGTACACATTTTGCAGTACAACACATTCATGTAACTCTGAGTCTCAAAACAACACTGTATAAGAACGTGGCAGCCTCCTGACTGCCATCCCAAATCCTCCTTTAGCAAACGGTCTTCCCCATTCGTGAACAGATGAGAGGAAGAAATATTTATCTCGCGGGAATTAGTAACGCAGTAAGAACAGGCATTGAATTCTGCGGTTCCTACACACGAACTGCTTCCAGCCTGAGCGGAGTCTGGCTTCGTGCTAGCGCGCACTGCTCTTCCTTGGCACTGAACCAATTACCTTTCACGCGAAATTCTCCACACTTCCGGTCCTCGTTGACTTCTTATCACTTATCTATTTGTGATAAAGCATTTTGTTGAATAACTCTGTTTTTTACTGCACGTGACTGAGTGGCACAGTTGCGATGAATTCTGGATACGTAATTATTGCATCATTGTGCCTTCCCGTGTTTATTCTGTTCTAAGTAGGAAATTTGACGCGAGAACTTGAAAAAGAACAATTTCGCCCACGTGTCAGGTAAATTCATGACTTTTTCGGAGATGATGTATTTTGAAATGTGGCGTCTAATTCGTGGTTTTCTTGCGTTCATTAATAACCACTTGAATTTACAGGTTTCATTGAAATCAAACATTTTTAACAGTAAATTTAGTCTCAGCAACATAATAAGTTGCTCGTTTGTCCAAAAAATAAATTTGGGAGAAATACCAAAATTAAACTTAGAAGTTGTTGCTGTTTATTTGTTTTCATTCTCTGACAAATTTGTTTGTTTCAGCACGCTATGTCATCGGTGGCTTGAAACGAGAGATCAAGTAACTGAAGCCGGAGGTAATGTGAGTAGGTAAATAAATCAACTTACGAGCTGCATGAGCATCACTTATTATAAGACGGTGATCAGACTTTGAGTGTGATAATGCATTGTAACCTTTGTAATCCTCGCCATTTATCCACACAGATTCAGCTAAAAGAACTCTTGTTAGAAAATTCGCATTGAAATCTCTTCCTCTCAGCATACACTTTGCCTCACTTCAGGCAAAAACTTTTTGATGACGTTATAAATTGTAAACCAGCTTTTGATATTATTGTAAATATTAAGTACTTAGTCAGGCAAATTTAAGGTAGTAGATTATTTGCAGAGCCGGTCAAGATACTTGGACACGACTTTTTGCCTTTCGAATAACTACCTGCGAAGTCTTTTTCAGTTATCTGAGTTTCTAAGAAAATTTTATGTCCGCCGCCATTTGCAATAGGAGCTATGTGAAAATTCCATGAAAGACGGGTACATTTTGACCAGCTGAGTGACTCTAATGTCTTGCAGTATGACGCTGTGACATTTCGATGTGTGCTTATATCTGTATGCACCTTTATCGTATTATTAGATTCAGCCAAAAGCCACAAGAGTATAAACCCTCGCCCTTACAGGACAGAGTGCTGTTTCAAAGTACAGCACAGGCACACACATCACGCAACAAAGTGTCAAACCTGTACCTCACTTGACTTGCAATACACGCATAATTATACCTCAGACCCGTAATACTGGCCCTACAAGTCCTGTACCTCAGACTCGTAATAATACACTTGCCAGTTCGTATAATTGTGCCTGAACCTCGTAACATTGTTCCTCAATCCTAGAACCATGTCTCGTCCGGTCCGTATATTTATACCTCAGACTCGTAATAATGCACTTGCCAGTTCGTATAATTGTGCCTGAACCTCGTGACATTGTTCCTCAATCCTAGAACCACGTCTCGTCTGGTCCGTATATTTATACCTCAGACTCGTAATAATGCACTTGCCAGTTCGTATAATTGTGCCTGAACCTCGTGACATTGTTCCTCAATCCTAGAACCACGTCTCGTCTGGTCCGTATATTTATACCTCAGACTCGTAATAATGCACTTGCCAGTTCGTATAATTGTGCCTGAACCTCGTAACATTGTTCCTCAATCCTAGAACCATGTCTCGTCCGGTCCGTATATTTATACCTCAGACTCGTAATAATGCACTTGCCAGTTCGTATAATTGTGCCTGAACCTCGTAACATTGTTCCTCAATCCTAGAACCATGTCTCGTCCGGTCCGTATATTTATACCTCAGACTCGTAATAATGCACTTGCCAGTTCGTATAATTGTGCCTGAACCTCGTAACATTGTTCCTCAATCCTAGAACCATGTCTCGTCCGGTCCGTATATTTATACCTCAGACTCGTAATAATGCCACGTCGAGTGCCATATGCGTGTGCCTCAGACCCGCGACAATGCCCCGACCAGACCATATAAATGTGTCTCAGCACGTAGCCACGTACCGCAGAACAATGTCGTTTGCCGTCTCAGCGTTGTGTGAATTTGTATCCGTGGCAGCACCTTGTAGTTCCCCCGGTTTTAGTGCTGAGACGGTTCGTGTCGAGAATCGAATGAAGACGCCATCACCTTTTGGTGGGAAGGGGGTTATGAGCTCTTTCTCTCTCTCTCTGTGTCTGTCAGACCTGCCAACCATGAACAAAGTACATTCGGATACGACACGACTTAATGCATTGTGTCAAGGAACGCCATTACGGAAGACAAATCTAAATTGCAACTTCTCGTTTTCTTTACCGGTCTCGTGGTCTTGTGCTGGAGTCCCATCGGTCAGTTCGGTCTCAGGGTTTATTTTTTTTATCGGTTAGAAAAGAGAGATAAAATATGGAAAGTGTGGGCATGTCTCTCGGTGTAACTCGATTGACGTGTTCTTATTCAAGCCATCTTCTCGTAAATCTATTCTACGCCTTGAAATCTGTTGTCCGTGTCAGTGCGTGGTCGGATTTGTGTCCGCCATGAAATATGGATAGTAATGGAGATCGATGTTGTCATATTTGGCTGCCAAGCAACACAAGTGTCTGTCTGTAATGACAAAGTAAGCGCGCACAGAGCGGAGTTCGAATCCCGTGGTTATTGTGGACATAAACTGTAATGTATGTAGCCCTGCAATACATGGGACTCGGACATTCAGTTTATTTTATAATTTACAAATAAATTTTCATGTATATCTGATGATCTTTGCAGGGAAGTGAATTCAAGCAGCTTTAAGCCTACGAACAGGTGTCCCAAAAAAAGAGGTTTACATATTACAATATGGAATATTAACCTTGTTACCGATATTAATTTTGACTTGACGGAAATTCTAGGATGTGCTTGAAGTGTAGTGACGGTGGACACGTGAGTTTGAAATCACGCCTCCACCACGACCAACAGTTACAAGAATTCGATAAAAAAAATTGAGACGTCCCGTACTTTGAACGACGTGTGTAAGCAACGATGTGGTATACCGCACGCATCAAGAAATGAAGACCTTTTGCTGTGTTGTTACGGCATTTAACACAGTCACCGAAGAAATGTTTAAGGCCATCGGGATTTCCAAGTCAAGTGCACACTGGATTCTCAAATCTTACAAAGAGGAATTGTGACTGGATTCAGAAGAAGGTTCGTGAGGATTCACAGTTTATGGGTTGATGAGGCGACATTTAATCTGAAAGATACGGTGAAACGGAAAAATTGTGTGTACCGATCTCCTGAAAATCGCAACGTTTATTTCGACACGGAGGTGAATTTACCAGGAACTTCACTCCGGTGTGATGTTTTGAGTCATTTAGGGATGTTGTGGGACCGTTCTTGTTTGAAATGAGTTACTACTACTCAGTACCTCGACATGCTGCAAGAATCCATTGTTCTCGCCGTTCGTCAGCTGTGTGAAGACGAGGACACGTATCAATAAGATGGGACACCCCCACATTACCATCGTGATATCGTGATGTGTTGTATTTGCTGTGTGTGTATACATTTATGTATCAGTAGTTCTTCAGTAGAACTTATTTCTGAAGCGAGTGGTGCGCCTTAATTGGATATTTATATCAGGTACAGAGTTTTTATGTAATGAACCGCCTCTGAAGAAGAAAAATTGGTTAATTTTAAATTTTAAATTGAGTTTCATGTATATTAGGGGTTTATTTGATCCACACGAACGTAAATGAAAACTTTCCTGACAAAGTTTCGTGAATGCCCACGTACGAAATTTATTTGAAATCTGGAGGCGAGCCGTTCAACTTTCCTCTTTCGTGTTCGTTATGTGCTACAGGAAATTATGCGCTAGGATGGCAAAGTCTTTATTGTAAAACGAGTGATTTGTGGAAACAGATAAAGAATATTTTTTCGTAATCTGTGTTTTTCCCCAAGTCTTATTATGGTGAGGAAACTATGTTGTACCTTTCGTCAGACTTTGATAATGAATGAATGACATTCAAGGAGATATAAGTACTTCACTTTATTTTCAAAGAAACAGAATTTCTCACAATTCTCTATTCTATATCACTGTCGAGGTAAATTATAGAGAAAACTCGATTTCAGGTAAATCAGATAATAACGTAATTAGATCAATTATTTTATAAATATTGTATACAAATTTCATTTTTAAAAAGTCCTTGGATACTTAAAATTTCAGTTCCACTGCTTCTCGGCGCCATGTTAACTCATGTAGATTTTTATAGTCGAAGAGTATTTTTGAATCACGGTTAACAAAGCTAATGTGTGTTTAAAATAAAGGTACTTAGCGCATAAGCAGTCATGTGCTTTAGTTATTCCTTAAACACGTTTATTTAAATTAAAACAATCTCACGAACATCCCCTAATGTCACTTACTTTATAGAGCGTGAAGGGTTTTTTGTTAAATTAATTCGTAGACTTTATTTTTTTTTATTTGTAGTGTTCTGTCTGACGACAGGTCCATATATTATGAACAGGATCCTTCCAACCTCTTCAGGTTGTCAGGGACCTGCTCATACATATATACATTCTTGGCAGAGATGATCAGAAGTGGTTTGCCATTGCCTTCTTCTGTGTGTGAGTGGAGTAATTTTTGGGATGCCACGGAGAAACCGGGGAAGCCCCCGGAGGAAAACTCCGTGTTGCCTAGACCACGGCCTTGGCCAACACAAGTTATAAATTCGGGCACCGCCGGGAATCGAACCCGAGACCCCAGGATTATAAGGCCAGCGTTCTAACCGCTAGACCACCGTGGCAATTCGTAGACATCGCACGAAATGACAACGATTTGTGTGTATGAAATGCTGTAATGTTAATAATAATGACGATAATTTTCTGGAGGTGCAGTTATGTAAAGGGAGACGTGGATTGTTTGACGGTGCACAGAAAACGCCGGTTAGGTGCGAGGGGGGATGAAGCACAGGACTAAGTAACGTCGCTGTACTGTCTGAATAACAGACACGAGAATTACGGCACTCACCGCTTCTTGCGTTTATGGCAGGTGCTAAAATAAGTACCATTACTGGTG